GTGTTTCAACCTTCGAAATATTTAATTATTTTTAGCTATCGTGGTGGTAACTATTTGTTAAGTAACAAACGTTTACTGACGACAACAACTTGACATTTAACAAAATCAACAAAAGCTGTCTTCACGAATTTCCAAAGTTACTCGTATTAATTCTTACTTAATCTTACTAAGTGATTCCCAAAAAGAGTGATTCGCCACAATGTTCTACGTCGAATCGAATAACAGGGTAAGATTTTTTCACAATTGCGATACATCCATCATAGTTAAAAAGCAAGTTCATACCTTCCATATACTAATCTGGATCTTATCTAAGATGACAAGGTCAGTCAACAAAAGACACTTGACCTTAGCCCCGCCGTGTGGATAAGAGGAACTTCCTGGCCGACACAAAATACGTGCATGCACCCTGCCTGGATCACCTTGTGTTGAAACACTCGATCTTATTACTTCCTGAGTAAAAAAATACCATATCGTGTTTAATACTTGTCCATTGGGTTAAACAGCCTAGTTTAACATTATATGCTCAGCCTTACTAAGCCTGCACTTTTATGACACAGAAAACCAAAGTCAACACCATTTGGCAGATGCATTATCTCCTAAAGGACGCCATATTTGTAACATCTCAGTTAAGTAATTTTAAGTACCCAAACTGAGACAAGGTGACAAGGATTTCTCCTGGCAAGCCCGCCATGCGGTTCCGCACCGCCTGTACTCTTATTTGCCTACAGGCACTTTCCTAGACAGTAATTAACTTTTTAGTCCCTTAGATTAAAACAGACTAACAGAGGGAGGAAACTAGCGTTGATGTTTATCACGTATTTACCTTCCAACACAGAATATTGGGGATACTCTGTAGGCTCCAAATTCAAATCCCGCCAATCACCTTGGGCTTAGACTGTTTGTGGATTTGAACAGTTTGTGGATCAATTAAAATCCACAATTAGGACCATTATCTTTCTCAAAAAGACAACATTCTCTAAAGGGCAACTTTTACTAGAAACCATTCGTTAGTGAATTTTAACATACGAGTGAAATTTAAGCAGTTATAGTATCATAGTTTGTATATGAAAAACCGGGGTTTGTTTATGAATGTTCGAATCCACAGAAACTGTATGGATCATAACCATGAACAAATGACCTGGTCTGAATGTCTATAATAGCCGTAACAGATGATTTGGAAATTTTTTGAAAGTTCAATTTAAATATTAATAAAACATTTTTACTTTCACACCAGTGACGTAATTTTTTATGCTCATGATCCATAGCATTTCTGTTCTAGTATTCGTGGATGGATCTACACCATGATAACCTCCGTCGTAAATTACCGTATTATTAAGTGTACTGTATTTAGATTTGTCGTTTAGTATAGATGTCATCGCTATAGCTTAAATCAAGTTTTATAAACCAAGGATACATTCTGACTTGATTAGTAAATAGACTCTCATTTAAATCATAATTTATACAGATTTTGCTCCAAAGGACTTTGACCCGTCAATAAACCATGTCAAAACAATAGCTGAAGGTTTTTGTCTCGACGTAAAATGATTTAAAACACCGACAAGCGCATTTTCTCTGTACACCTATTGACTATTCCAATACTAGCTGACTTCGCTCTCCGAGAATTATTTTCCTACTCTTAATTATTGTATATCGTTGATTTTTTTCAGTTCAACGACGGCAACACAGGAGATCCTTGGAGCGGCCTCGGGCTGAGGATAACAAGTCCAGAGTTGTTTACACAAGAGTTTGTCGTCCGTCGTCCTCGAAGGACTCAGGACATTCACGTGTCAGGACGATGCTCTCGTGATAAAAATAAACGTGATTACTTAATTGTATAACATAAATATCCACTCCTCTGTCCTCTTTTGACAACGCAGGAACGCAGGTAAATGACAATTGAGCGTTGGACAATTTGTATTGCCCCATGTTGTCGTAACGATGTAACATACCTGTGTTTTACACGTAATAACCCTTCGAATAGAAACATCTAGTTATGTAAATTTTAAGTCAAACGTATCTGTGTATTTGCAGTGCCAGTTACGTACTCATGAGTACATTAGGTCCAAGAATACCAGAAGTACAATCACTCGTTGTAGTACTTATACTTGCCGGGCCACGACACGTATCCTTACGAAGGACAAACTTTGATGTTATATAATTTCGATCTAGGAACTTGAGTACGTAACAGTTTTAGGTTGTGTAAACAAGCATGATCGAACTAAAGTATAAGTAAAATCAACCTTAAATTTGTTTACTATATTTTAACTCAACAGGTTATACCATCTAATCATGCCATCTATATTTCTGTTTTAGGCTATATTTGATCCATATATTTATTTTGATTTTGAAAGGGAAATAACAGTTAATACATAAAATAAATCTGTTTGTCCAATCAGTTGGTTAAATGAAACTGTCAAATGTATGCTCCTGCTAAAGGCATTTCAGATCCCTGTAGTTAGTAAAGAAAAGAAAGCAAGTTTATATAAACATTTAGTTCACCATTCCCAAAATAGTGAACATAACAACTTCGAATTGTATTGCATGTATAGTACCGTGGAAAGGTTTAATTGTTCGTTGAGGCACGATTATATTAAATAATATTTACCGGAAGATATACTAGAGTCTCATGATGGATAAAACATACAAGTTGGTTGGTCTATGGTTTCATGTGCCAGCCTGTTGAAATAAAAAAAATCAAGGCACATGTGGGATTCGTTTGAACGGCACCACACCTTTCTTCTTGTCCAAACTTTCTATATGAGGTCAAGAAACAACGTTACTTAATCAACCAAAAAGCGAGTAATTTGAAACAACAATAAAGCCAATTCGATTTTTTCAACCAATAATATATCTATTGATTCCCTCCCCACAATGAGACTTGCGTACGAAAATTTAACATCTGGAAGGAACAATTTGGAATGATCATATTCGTCTAAGACTTATTCGTGAAGATATCAAATGTCATCATAGTATAGGGTACACAAGAACGCCAATGAAGATACGTTTCCAATGTAAAGTTTTTGGGTTGGACGCCATAATATTACCAAGTATGGTGTGATCAACCCTTGTGAGTATATCTTTTATCATCGGAACAATAAAGTTATAGTAATACATTGATGGAAATTCACAAAATTTAAGTCATATGACCCTGGAAGGTCAGGTGCCAAAGTCGATGACTCCTCCTGCCATTGCCCAATACAATAAGACGTCCGACTGCATCCAACAAATACGATTTCGAAATCGCTTGTTTTGGGTCAAGTCGGCACCAACCGGTTCCATGTTTTAGGAACGCAGCAGAACCAGTTGGCAATCGGTCCGCGACTCCACTTGGCGGAGGAAAGTTACCGCCTTATCCGGCGTGGTCGGAGTAATTGGGGAACTTCCGGTCTGCAAACACTAGGAAGATGTTGAGAGTGAAGAGATATGCTATCATTCCTACAGAGGCCGCTGGGTTGTCAGCAGGTTCAAGGAAAACTAGGACAAAATTGCAACGTGTGACCCTAGAGAGGTAAAAAGCTCGTTCCGGTGCTAATCCTCTTGCCTTGTCTAGCTATGGCTGGTAAGAAGTCTGACAGCATTTATCGGATTGAAAAAACAAAAACTAACACTACAAACACACGGATACAATTCTTTCGGTTACAACTCAGAACATCTGAGCATTCCTCAAAGGCTTCCATATAGATCTACTGTGTTAGGAACGCTTTAGCTTCAAAGATTAAGAATATGAGGTTTAACCATCAAATGCACTCCTTGATCGGAGATGTCTTTAGTGTTCAAAGTAGACTAACTCAACCGTAGTTTCAAAATATGTTTAGTAGTGTATGGACAGTATAGAATTTCAAGTTTCTTTCATTATTATTGTGCTTAGTAAGCCTAGGCGGGGACATATTTATTTCACTTCCTGCGGTTTGAAAGGTTACCCATCCACAACGATCATCTGACCGACCGCCTTCAATGAACTACGCAAAAACAGACGTATTGGTATTAGTTACAAGGCGATACTCAAGTGGTAGGAAGTTTGCCTCAGGTTATTAATGTTTTATAACATCGAGTAGTGAGGTTCAAATCCTTTATTATCTTGGCCTCCAACGAGTGTGTTGGCTTCATGACACTTTGTTCGGCATGCCATCAAAGTTTCATCACGATCACTCATACAGTCCTGCTAGGCGACGAAGACGTGTGGAGCTTATAAACAGCTGATTGCATAAATTACGCCGTATCGCAATTATCATTGGTGAAACTACAGGCCTTGATAGACGAAGGGTAATAGGTTGGTCTGCGCGTGTTATAATTGATTGGATATTCAGATTAATCATTACTGTAATTAGAATGCGCCAATCAATTAGTTGAATTACTGAGATTACCGAAGAGAATTAAGAAAAAAATAATGGAAGATGAGTGTAGAAAGAATATAGTGAAAGATTTGTAGATGTAATACGGCTGCAATGAAACAGATATGGTCTTTACCAGCCGATTTTTTTGTCATGATCACAAGCCCAAGGACAGCTGGGCCTGGTTTCAATTTGTCAAAGAAGGCTTTAAATTACCAAGCGAGATGATCTTCAACCAACTTTGCAACTTTTAATTCTACCAAGAGACTTGAACATTAGGCTGATTAAAATGTAATTATTTTATTTGAACAAAATGTTCAAATAGTATAGTCTTTTAAGACTTTGTCATTATATGAACATGTGATTATGAAGGTGTTAATGGAATGACTGTATATATCTGAAACACTCTTTAAATAAGTCTTAAAAACTGTCGATGTCCATTTACCCCTTTCACGATTTGTTTTCCAATAAAAATTTAGGGGTATCAGGCAGGAATGCCACAAGGGTCTGTCCTTGAGCCACTTCTTTTTCTAGGACATCGGAAATCAACAGTTCCCTGGCATGGATCGAAAGCGAAGCTGCAAGCTGGAAGTGGAGGGAAATGCGGACACCGACTGGTCTTCACTAGGGCGGAAGAGATCAACAAGAGAAAGAGTGAGAGAGACTTACCGGTCAGTCAGGTGCGAGAGTGAGAGGGGAAGTCAGACGTCAACCTGCAACAACGTGTAAAGTGTCAGCATATTACGATGGTGTTTTGGCAACGTCATACAAACACTAGGAAGTAGATTATGATTACCACTGTGAAACCACTGTTATAACGAGGAACCAAAATCCAGAGACTCGGATCCATGGTGAGAGAGTATTTTCCTTTGCAATCACATCTCATTAGGTTCGTTATCCGCGGTTTTTCAAATTATCTCTCAGTCAGAAGTCTTTTCTCAAACGAAATCTTGCCACAGCATGAATGTCGTAACCTAACCACAATGCTACACGTTTTAGGTGTTTACTTATTTAAGTAAGTTATTTTTAATTAGCATAACCGATAGTTGATTTTTGGATGTCTTCAAGATTAACTCCTGCTACGCATCTGATTATCTGATACTCCAACTAATATTTTCCTCAGTTCAATGACGCAGTCATTAACCGAAAATCAAGAATTGATAGATGAGTTTATCTTGTTATACATGTATGTCTCAAAAAATCACATATCAGACTTTTATGCGGTTCGAGAATAGATCGTTGACAGTACTAACAATTACAAGCAAACGTGATGACGTCAGATGTGAAACGCCTTTAAGAACTCGTTAACGCACGCAAACATCAACCATCGAGTGAGAAACGGCCGAGAAAACCATCGTAACGTTATGCATTCAATAGTAAAACTTTTGGCAAACAATACATTGATTATGTAATGCTGAATTTTTATAGTCTGGAAACTTCCACCGTTTCACTTCTGGGGAAGTAACCTGGTTTGATCATAGCTCGGGTACTTCCAAAGAGCCGTTCCCGTCCTTTATGGACCATAAACCTATTGAGAGTCATTTCTAGTGTGAACTAGATACAACTCTTAACGGGTATTTCTTAAGTAAAAATACGCATAGTTATTCTCACAGAAAGGACAAAATATAACTATATTTACTGAACGTGGATGGCTTGATCCAATTCTACATTCATTGTCACAGTCAATGAATCATTTGGATTTATGACAAAATTAGCTACGGTTTCTTATCGGACTCCAATGATTTGTTAACGGAACGTTGGTAGAAGTTTACGAGTAGTTTACTTTATTTTATTCTCCCAGGAAAATTAATACATATTATTGTACACAATGATACCTTCTCGGGACCGAACTGGCAAACCTAAGATTTAAATGAAGAAGAGCACAGCAACTACTCTGTTTTAAAGCCCGATTTAAAATTAACCATACCAGTAGAACGATTTCTTCGTAAATTAAGTTGTTTATACATACCTATCAAAACAAGATAGCATCAACAATAACTTGTTTGAGATCTTTAGATAGCTCATGTCAGGCTATGTAGTGTCAAAATATGTTACGTACTTTACATAAACCCTTTCACTAAGTAAAGTTCATTATAAAATAAAAAATACGGTAAATCAAATGAACTATATTTAAAAAAAATATGTTGACAAATTTGATTAGTGCATGTGTTATCAAGTACTGTGTACCTTCTTGAATGTTTGGAAAGGTTTCTATGACAATTCCTAGTTCGACCAGATGCCTGAAATACACGTTATCTCCTAATAAAATCATTCTTAGCAAAATAGAAAAAAATCCACTAAACGGATTGCCGAAACACCAGTTCTGTAATGACGTTTTCTGTCCTGCCTTCCTTCGACGAGTTGTTCGTGTGGGTATTTTTTCATCTAAGGAAATTATTGACCGGCGCCGAAGCCGCTGGACGTAGCGGACCTAGAACCTACAATTATCCTAACTGTTGGTCCAGGAATGTGAGGTTAGACCAGTCAGGTGGTCAGTGGTCAGACTTGGGTGACAAGGCAACTTGGCCTGCTTCCTTGTTGAGGTCAACACACGGTTGGAGGAAATATAGGCCATTAAAACAGCAACTTATGGAGTAACGGTAAACACACAATTTCTTAAGGAAGAAATCACAAACATAAAGGAAAACAATTGAAGTTTCAAAATGACAAAACAGTAATTGGATCCACAGTTTGAAATCGTCTTCAGTCCATGCCAGTTCCAAACATGCAAAACCAAAAGAATTTTCTATGAGGAAATATTTCCGGAAAGTGGAAAGTTTAACGTTACATCTCCAAACCGACTGATGACCATTTCTTTAATGAGAGTAAAGTTCTGTTGGACGAGATTCATCGACAAGCCTCGAATATTTCATACAAAATCGATCTGTGAATCATTAAGTAAGTTCAAAGTTTGCTTGTTCGAGGTCCTTAGCAGTTTTGATAGTTATGCTCATTACTTCACTCTTTAAACACTGAACGATTAGACTTTGGGCATGAGTAACTATTGATTGAATTGTTGATTGTATATTTCCATTTGCAATGTACCATGACGACTGAACTATATATAGGAAGACATCGATTAGCACTCTTTTATCATGGAAACTTTATGGGTTACTGTTATGAAATTGTCATTTAATAAGTGATAACAAATCAAAAGACTTAAAATCGGGAGAATCAGCACGGAAGTTATCCTAAAACCACCTCATGATTAGAAGAGTTCCGGAACGGATTATTCCTATAAATAACTTTCAAAAATTATATTTAAATTCTAATCCATTTAGATAAATTTGTCCATTGACTTGTTAATTAATGTTATTAGAAAAATCTAACCTTGGCCGGCAACAAAGCTCAAGTCAAAGAATCTCACTAGTTTTAATCTCGATTTAGATTCGAACATTTAAGCTGCAATACATTTAAAAGAGGCTGACCATTTTCTTGCAGCCTTTAACATTCGTTCAATAATAATGGGATTTAAAAATTCCAATCGCCGAATCATTTTGCTAACCTCACAGCTCCGTATCATATACAGGACTACCGAATGGCTATTTTAATTACATCCTTCTGAATATTCTGTTCGGACTATTGTACTGAAACAATTACAGGCTATTGGGTTCTATATTAAACTATTGACCATTAACTACTGATATTCTCTTTATGTTACCACAGTTAAATGTATTTAAACGTCTCCTTTTTCTATACTTCTCAACGCTAGGATCTGGCCTGATCTTGGAAACGACTAGAGGGACGCGCCATTTTCACAAAGCAAAATTCTAAAATAAAACAAAGAAATACCATTGGATGTTGATTGCATTTTATCGCAGGACCTCGTGGACCGATACCACGCACTCTGCCACTACAGCTCGGTCCCCAGCGGCAAAGTTTACTACAGTCTCGTGAAAAAGAGCAATATATTATCAAAGTTATTCGTAACACACGACATAGCACAGAACATTCGTAACACACAAATATATGATCACATTACAACCCTGCCATGATTCCAGTGTGTGTTGTTCTCTAAGTGGCTCGACACGCATTGAGGACATTCAAAAGCACGGTGACTTCAATCAGGACTACTAACATGTTAGTAGTCCTGGACTTCAATACTACAACCATAGCTCACTTTTCAGCCACACACTGACAGAGGTTAAGGTCTTCCCAAGGCGAAGGTCGCCGCCACAGGGGTTACGCCCCGGGCCGGGCTTTGTGGGCGGAAAATCGTGACTTTCTCCGCCCGTGTACCAGCTCTTCTGTATCATTATCGGGTTCCGACGAGAGCAAACCTGGGGCGGATTATGCTAACCGTGGGGCAACATAGACTACGTTGAACTCTATGGTCGGTAAATGCCCTAGGAGGTGGTGCAAACGGTGAAAACAAGTTAGAATGGAATCTCATTCCATTCTATAGTCGCCCTAACTCGTTAAAATGCTTAAATACATCTCGTCCTTCCTATATCTTGGGTTATAAAGGACTGTCATTTATTCATAAAGAACTGCCAAACTTTAGTAACACTGTGCACCTCTTTCACGTCCCTCATAGTCATAAGTGGCAAAAAGTATACGAAAAATTGTTACAAAGAATATTATTTACCCAGTATCAACTTGAGAGGAAACCCCAGAAATATTATGATTTTACGTCTATAAAGTAAAATGGAACTGGAAAGCGCACAAAGTCTGAAAGGTAACTTTTCTTCACTAATTTGTACTGAAGAAAATATAGCTCACGACATACGGTTATAAAAGTAAACAAAAAAACCAACCCATAGTTTGAAGCACAACTACCAAACTAAAATACTGAGCTCCAACAAAACATTTTTTCCTCTTTGAACTTTGAACTTGAACTTGACTGACATTCATGCTGTGAACAAGAAGCATTTTAGTTGTATCTCGTACTCATTTTCGTTAGAATGTTATATTATATGCATAATATTTCAAATGTAAGAATAGTCCATCAAAATTTAGATATATGTAATAATGTCTACGCTGTCGAGGAGTATTTTAAAACATTATTAAATACAGAGTCTGAGAGTGAGGGATGAAGTAAACAACCCTAAGTAATCCGAGGCTAGTGAAAGAACATGTCTTGTGAGATTATAGTAGAAGGTTCGGCCTTCTAACCACAGTTAGGCCTATATTTAAACTAACTAAAAGTGAATGGTTTATCAAAATACCTTTGAATATAAGTACGGAGAAATTTATACAAACATTCAACTCATAGTTTTGTGACAACAATGGATTCAGATCCCTCATTTTACTATTGTTCTAAAAAGGCTACAAACGAACCATTAGAGATATAAGTGTGACGTTTTAATCAATTATTCTCTCGGTGAAAATTGGCCGAAAATTGATCAAATTGATTTGGTTGATTGGGAAAATTGATTTAGTTGTATCAAAGTAATTTGATCCAAAAGGCATACATTAAATTTCATCTATTGGCTTGTGATATTAAGAAATAGCTAAGACAAAAAGGGCAAAATGCACCTCCAGTATTAATGGTAAAGATAATTTACAAGTCATGCCCCATAAAATACAATATACAAAAATATTAACACTGATGTAACTTTTTAAACGTTGTACATAAAATTCCATTTTAGTTTATGACAAAACTGTATTTTCAAGTCACTTTATGAAAAAAAAACTAGGTTTATTAAGCTGCTTATATATTTTTTAAACTTCTTGAAAGCAATTTTTTTTAGCTTGAATGAAGATATTTGATAAAATTCGTGTCATATATTTGTGCAGTATTAAGTAATATTCGACAGTTTAGTTTTCAGATTCTTGTAAGTATTTCGCAAACTCCTATTACAGAAATGAGGTTAGCAGAACTAACGGCTGACGTCAATGATTCTAGTTTGAAATCTTGTAACCAAGGGCTACTACTTTACTTTCTATTGGCTTATGAGGATTCTTTATCCTCATACTAACATGTCTTCGAAATTATTTTGTCTTAGATCTTATATTTGTTGACCTATTTTTTTTTGCAGTGGAAAGATTATGTTTATGTTAGTAAGTTTGTTTTTATTTAGTTAGTGTTTAATTGAAGATGTTAGCTTCTGGATTGCTAAAAAATATCAAAAAGGTTACTACTGCAGTAAACTCAGTTGCAAACTTCGATTGTAAGCAATCACATTTATCGAAATTATGTGTCTATTGATTTAACTGGTTGTCGCTTATCTTTGCATTCTAGTCATTAGTTCGACATACCCATAGCATAATGTACACTAACACAATCACAATAGACTCACTAAACTATTGAATCACTTACTAAACAGCTGTTTGTTTGCATTAGCAACATTGAAACCATGTCGGAAGTAGTTTTGAAAGGTTATCATTACATGAAAAATATTTTCATTTTCCGACTAAGTTTGATAGATCAACGTTGCAATATGACAATCACACGGATAAAACGTGTCTTTTCATCCATCGTTCATTTTCCGACATCGGTTTTGCCTCAGGTCGAAAAGAGCCACTTTACACCCTCCAGTCTTTACATCTCCAGGCTCCAGTCTGAGCAAACTCTGACCAACAGAAAACAGTTTATTGCTTTGTAGTAGCTACTTAATAAACAAGTCTGTCGCAGTTAATCAAGAAGCCAAGACAAAACCAGATCAAAACATACTTAAACAGGCTCTTACCGTTTTTAGCATACGGCCATTTTAATCACGACAGGGTGTTAAGTTCACGCTATTATTTCAAAACACTCCGTTCAAATTATAATTTAAACGGCCTAAGGGTGTTGTAGAAGAACTGTATTCGATCTAAAACTATAGCCAGGTTTTGTTAATTCTATCAATAAAAGTCAAGGATGGTGTACAACAATGGGCTTTCATACACTCGATGACAGAACCATTGTTATGGTTTAATTAAACAAAACCGCTGATTATCTACCCTCAAGTGAATTGTAACTTTGTAATTCAATCTCACATTACCAGCTTTTGTTGTAGTTCAATATACACAATCCATCTACACTAGTATAATTACTGTAAGTTGGCTGTGCTGTAAGTTGTACCATCACGCGAAACACCAATTCACTCAAAATGTCGTAGGCACATTGTCGTTTTGATATTTGACTAACTTCACAGAAAACATACTACTATAGTAGTATGTTTTCTGTGCTAGCTTTGCCCTGGTTATTCAAAGTTTCAAGTTTAAGTTTGATGTTTGAAGTTGTAAAGAAATATTAATCTGTCTAATGACAGTAATATAATTCTTTTGAACTTGACGTTGATACAGTTATTAATTTATTCCACAACACGTCTGATGGAATCACACAAAAGAGAATTGTATGACTTTGAGATGTAGGCTACAATTAAGTTTCTATAAATAATCAATGGTAAGGTAACCCTTTTCTTTATTCCGTTGTGAAGCATGGGAAAACTGCTAACAGTCGATAACAAATTATTACTCATGTAATACCTACTAGTCATGAATTGTTACCAACAATACAATAATTACTACATGTACACGGGCAATTGCACTTATTTTACGATACAGTATGTTAATTTGGTTAGTAAAACGGATTTCAGCAAACTTTTAGCTCGCAAGATGTGATACCAGCATTACTATTAAAATGTGAAGAGAATTTATTATTTATTTTTTTATTTTATTTATTTATTTAAGTTAACATCATCACATTAGATAAATTCTCTTGACAGGTGATTTGTCACATCTAATACTACATTTTAAATAATAAAATAGCTTACAAACGAAATAAAGCAAATAATAAGCTAAAAACCTATTGGAGAAGTAATATCTTTCAAATTGACGGTACTGTCAATTGGCTAAAGATCATTCGATTATTTGCATATTATTCACAAAGCTTTAAATTCTTTATCGTATTTAGCATATCGTATCGTTGAAGTATGAACGACTATACATTTTTAGACGGCCTATTGTATGCATATTTTTTGATGGTCAACAATCTAACTAAACTATTGATTCAGAGGTGCCTTCATATCAGGCAACCTGTTTAGCCTCTAATTAATCGTTGCCTGACTCAACAACTCGTTTTATAGGTTCAAAATAATGAGTTATCACTTATCTACAAATTAACACATAAAACTACGTTATAAAAATAATTTAAACACTACATACAAATTGAGCGTAATATAGCAAAACTATTGAATAAAAACATTAAGTTAAATTTTCTTATAAGGTACAAATAAAATATTTAAATTTATGGAATCAAAATAAATGAAACTAAAATAATTAAATTTAATATAGTTTACCTGCGAGTCTGAATATTTTCGTCCAACAAGAACACGTCAACACAGATCCTATAGTTACCGTATACACTACAGTAGGGTCGGAAGCGCGCGGAGCACTGGGCCGGGGTCCCTGAGTAGGCCACCAAAGGGGGGGGGGGCAGGACCCTACTTTCTCCTACCCCCTGCTAGTGACGTAAGCGGCACCTGGCTACTGATAATGTGGAACACTACTCGGGAAACAGCGGAAAATGTGCGGCTTAACAAGTAAACTGGCTGTTGTTAAGGTTTGAAATTGTGAGTGATGTATAGAAAAAAAATGGGAAAAATTAACGTATCCATTCGCTATAAATTCGTCGACTTAAATGAGAGCAACTGAATAATTAATGTTAATTCAAATAATGACATTACATGTTGGTAGTTGAAGTTAAAGAGGGATTTGCTGACTGCCGAGTCGTGATATGTTGTGCGAGTTAGGATCATTAGTCATCATCAATTTAAAATTCGGATTTCATCTAGGAAAGTGAGAACATTAATTTTACCAGGGACTGACAATTAAGTAAAACGAAGAAGGGAGAAACCTATAGAGCATTTAACTATTCACGGAACAATTTATGTATTTGAACTACTTAAGTAAAGTGTGTACATAAGTCGTACACACTTTAAATTTAATCATTTCCAGTTTTATCAAATGATTTAGTTCAATATTTGCATTTTTTGCATGTATAGCATACTAGAAAAAGTGGTGAAAATGTATCTTGTTACTTATTTTGCAAACAATCCATTTTCAAAATGTCAGAACTGCACTACCCTCAAAAGATAGCAATCATTAAATGCTAATAACGTAAGATCAATTCAGTTTACAGTATTTGGTTTTTGAACAGCTAGTTGTAAGTAATTCAAAGCACTTTTAATGGCTTCCATAACAATTTTTATGACGTAAAACATGAATGAATATCCTCACAAACGTTTAGGAGATCAAGTGATTGAAGTTGTCATTATTCAAATTTAACTGTGTTATACAAACATGTTATTATGAACTGCTTTAGAAGATGTAAGGTTATGTTCCTCAATTGCAGAACTTGATTCAAGGTTTTGTTGAGGAAAGCGGCCTCATAACTGCCTATTATATTGCTTACATCCGAAATAGCAATAGCAATTAATTAATTAATTCTGGCCTTCACTCGTGGTGCAATCTCTATTTAATGTTGGAAAGTCTTTTTCGATATATGGAACTGTGTGAGCTACATGATATATTATGAAAATGACGTTAATCCCGCCAAAGTTGATTCTGCCAACCAAAGATTTATGTCAACCAAGTTAAGTTCTGTCAAGTTCAGATCGGCTAGCCAATGTTGGTTTTGGTAACCAGTTCAAGTTTTATAAATAATTTCTATCGCAGAATAAAGATTGGACCAATTATCAACCAATGTTAGTCCGTCAACTAAAGTTAGGTCTTGACGACAAAGGTTTATTCTGCCAACCAAGACAACTTTGATTAGTTTTGCTAACCAAAGGTAAGTTCTGACAACAAAGTTAGTTTCGTGATCCAGTTTCGTTTGATAAGACTGGTTATATATTTACAAACTCTGTTCTACGGCAATATCAACTATGGAATTAAATAATTGCCACTCTGGCCACTGCTGTATAAATTTGGCGTGAATCAAGTATAATGTTTTTGGAACCGATCTTTGGATGTGAGATTATTGTAAGTTATGCTGAAGATTGTTGATGGAATCTAGCAGTGGCTGTAGAGTGCCACTGTCCCGACAGTGACGTAAATGTCTCAATATTTTAGATAGTGTACGTAGTAGTTCACCCGTCTGGAGTGTTCTAGAATGATCGATGACGTCAAAGATCTCTATCGTCCCAGAACATTCCATCATATTTTTTCGTTAACCTGATAATAACGGAAAATATAAATATGCCTTTTAAGTTCAATGACATTCCAGAATTTTTGTATTGCCTGGAAAATCGTCCTTACGCAGTTTTATAAAATACCCTTCAATTAAAGAATTCCCCCATTTAAATGAAAAATTCAATGTTTTGAGTGTAAAGAGCAGTTTCTACTTCTTTTATTTGAAAGCTAAAATGTGTATTATGATGTTCGTCTGTTCGAGAAAGAGGGAATGTTCCAAGACCTAGATGAACCTTTTATCATAAATTGAAAACACAAGAGAGATCCAGAAGGTTCTGGACTCCTGCGCTGTTCTGGGCAAATCCATGATTCAACCAAAGCAAAAACTTTTGTGCAATGCTCTTCGTCTACGATATAATAAAACTGTCAGTTCAATCTTTATTGGATTATCCTCGATCCAGAATATAAATAACTTCTCGCATTGGTCAACGTTTAGATTTTCTGGGCTTGTAGGTATTTTGGCTCCTCGGCTTGGGGGTTTTTACAGTTGTTATTTAAAGAAATGTTGTCATTGCATGTTACTATGTGTCTCCGGTGCCTGATCAGAATTTGTCACAGACCGGTATATCGCTCGACTCGTCATTATCGCGGCAGTTGATATCAACTACATTCACTTGTTCCTGTTCCTGGCTCACACAATCCTTATAGTATATTGGCGACGTAGCTCTTGTCCACTATCTGGTTTATTCTAGATCCCTCCTCTGTCACGCAGTACGCACTGCGGGACTTTCTACGCAGGTTGCGTGCGCCAACAATGGCCACGCGCGGTTCCCAAAAACTTCCTGGCTTCATAGATAACCTGTGACGAGGGAAAGCTACTGACGTGTTGTGATCTTTGGGTGTTGAAATGAAAATATAAAATGGTAAAAGTGGTGTGTATATCACGCAAGAGATACAACTCTACAAGCAACGTCAGGGAAGGTGGTGTGTGTGATGCGAGAATTAGGGGCGACTCTAAACTTCTTAAGTACTTGTTTTTTTTTTTTTTTTAAGAGGTTGGCGGCCACTTTTAACCTTTCATTTGCCCGTTCACATAGACTAACTGCCCGTGCGTGGAACGTATCCAGCAAAGCAAGGGGTGAGCCGGTACAGCACGAACTGTACTGATAAATGTTATCGGCAGTGACCAGGATCCGAACCCACGACATCGCTGCCTTGTGCCCGAAGTCCATTACGCTACCAACTGAGCCACCGACTCACGGATTGTTGTTATATTTGAAATTGGTCGCAGGTAGAGTAGCGCAGATGAGTGGAACCTGTTAGACTGCATTGAAGTCCTAAACGGTTATTTAAACAAATGTACCTAAAGTAGTAAAACAATACGATATATCAAAATGCAGAAACATTTTGCTGAAAGCTGCATAGATATGACCAATTTGTCATCACATAAATTTATTTTCAGGCGGAATACAAATCGTTGCGTCATGTCTACAGTATACAGTAACCTGCGTTGGTCCGTTCAAAAAGTATGACCGGCATAGTATCATTGACTTTTATACGTCAATGGTAGTTTTTAATGACGTTTAAGGGTTTGCTGTTTATTTATTCTATGGCAGTTCTAACCTAGCAGCACTGCGTCTGTCATCCCTTCTTAAACTGCAGACCGTCCCTAGATTAGACCATAAATAAATATAATTATTCATCATTCCCTAGACTGTCCTGTTAGGAATGACCAAAGCCGCGACCAGAATACTAGAGTCCCTTCAATTTATGCAACGACAAAATACCTATACGCTTGTGTTTTGCAGATTTCTTCTCAACGTTAGAAGGAAAGAAGAATGATTACCACTTACTAGTGTTTCACTGTGATGATACTGTAGTTTTATTTTGTTTAGTTATTTGTTACTGTTGTAAGTTGTCTATCTTATTTGCATACTGTATATTTTTATTAATACTTACTATAGTTGTTCTGCCCGTGCTTCGTAATGGGGCAAGAATACTAAGAGAATAATGTGGGTCTCTCTCTCTCTAAATCTATCTACTGTAAAACAGTTACATACACTTACCATGCAAATTATACAGGCAAATCTGAATCGCACTTATTGCTTATTTTAATGGAACTCTTGTGTATTTGCATTAAACTGAGAATCAAAATCACAACTAATAGCTTTAGCGTAGTGTATAATAATTGAAATCAGGGAAAAAGTACTGTAATCAAAGAAATAATAAATAAAAACAAATCTAACAGCTGATGTTTCTTTGATATTTTAAAGTTATTTAATACAGCCCAACATGTCTACAGACTAAAAAGAGAAAATGTTTTTGACATGTCGACTCGATTTGTACAGCAGCTCTGAAATTTCTTTTCTTTGCTTTTTTTTGTTAGTGCTAAAGCTGTTTAGCTGCTAACTCATGTTTTCCAATTTTTATTTTATTTATTTAAAAGTCATCATATTTACTTATTGTTTAATGTAAAACAGATTGTAAATAAAATTTTGTTAAAAAAATACAGCCCTTTAATAGAGGTTCGTGCCTTTACCAGGGGCGTCATTTGGGGGGGGCAGGGGGGGCAATGCCCCCCCTGGATCCTGGGCTAGAGAAAAAAATGTGCTGTACTAGCCAATATACAAATATTTTCTCTTGTCAAATCCTAAAAAGCACAGCAGACAAAAATCTGTATATTCTTGTACAGTAATTTGAAACAAAAATTATTATTGTTTTACTGTCTTAGATAGCACATTTTGAGTTAACATAAATTAGTAGTTTTGTTATTCATTTACTTTTTCTGTTTGGTAAGGTACGATAAACCACTTCTAGTTTATATATATACATAAAAATTCAGATTTTTGAAGCATTGCTTAGTCATTTACTTTTATGAATTATTCAAGCATTAAAATTATACATGTGTATACATTTTACGTAATTTATTTTGAACATTGTAGACTACCTACCAATTTTAATATAGTTAAATAGAACCTTTTGTACTTTTGTGTCAAATTATTTTATTGGTGATAACATTTGATTTGCTTTCAAGTTCTTAAATACTTGTATTTTATTTAAAAACCAAAATAAACTGTTATAAACTATAGGATTTGAACAACCGTATTCATTGCATTGTTGTACAAGAGAAATTGGTCATGAATCTAATAACAAACATAATATTAATACATCATGAAACTATCGATCACGTTTCTTAGATGACTAACTTACAAAAAAAAATATTGTGTTTCTGTCTGTTGTCAATAATTCTTAGT